AAAAAAAAAAAAAAAAAAAAACAAAGAAACGCTCACACCACACAAACATGACGCGATAAACGAGAAAACCGCTCACGCCATCGCACTGGAAATTCGCCGTTAATCCATCGATTAGGCGTAAATCTCGTTACCACCCAAAAGAATTAATCATAGTCTTGTCCATATTAGTCAGTGTGACCCGTTCCGACTAGTCTCCCCTCCCCCCCTGACCATTACCTAATTCCCCTCCTCTTGTTTTAGTGTCACCGAACGCTGTCACCGGACTGTGGGCGCAACACCGGGCGGCCACTCCCCATGACTTGTTCCGTTTGTAAACATTTCTACTTCCTTAAAGATCATCCGAACCAGGCGATCCATGACCTCCCCCCCCCAAAAAAAACTAGCGGTATATAATGAGTGATTTCTCATTACGATAAGTACAATGTCGACATCCACTTAGAGACTTATTAGAGGCCCCGATGGTGAACCGCTTAGCCCTGCTCACCGAACCCCCCGTGACCCGCCTGCGCTCAATCGACGACCTCCTCCAGTGCCACCACCAAAACCAGCACCAACCCCCCCTGCGGGACCACAAACACCCAGCGGCGGTCTGCGGCCCCTGCGAGCACTGGCTCTGCCAGCTGGTGCGCTTGTGCCGCCAGCTCGACCACTATACTATTGCCCATCTCAACCGGCTGGTACTGCCGGAATCAAGTTCCGACGACAGCGCTGCCACCGAGCTGATATGTTCGCGGTGCGATCCTACCCCTACATAATTGGAAATTGCTACCCGGACAGTTGGTATATTTGACACATCTCCCTCTGACGAAATGCTACAGTATACATAGGATGCTTGCTAATAGCTTATATAATCACACATCCTGCGTCTCATTACTTCTCTTAACCGGGTAAGGTTAGTCACTGGCGCCTGCCTCAGGGGGATACGGCGCCTGCGCTCGCAATACCCAAACCTTTTGCCGAATTGCTACGGGGGTAACCCACTCCTATTTCCCACTCGGAAGCTACAATTATTTTCTAAACTTTTCAATATCCATTAACGCGACAGATGTTCGCTAAGTATACAACTTCATGAGTAGTCATTAAATCAAGCAACCCGCGACCATGGCGACGACGGCCAAGGCGCCCGACGCCGGCGAGGGGATGAACCCGTCGGAGCCCGATCTCGACGACGAGCCGCCGGAACCACCGCCGCTGGAAGAACCACCGCCAGCACGCGACGATTCGCTACCGCCCGAGGAAGCAGCACCACCAGCGCCACTGCGCGACGATTGCGAGCCACCCGACGATTGGGAGCCGCCAGCCGACGATTCAGAACCACCAGAAGATTCCGAGCCACCCGACAGTTCAGAGCCACCGGCCGACGACTCGGAGCCGCCAGACGATTCCGAGCCAGAGGCCAGCGATTCAGCACCGCCAGACGATTCGGAACCAGATTCCGAGGCCGACGATTCCGAACCACCAGAAGATTCAGAGCCGGAGGATTCAGCACCACCCGACGATTCGGAGCCGGATTCAGAGGCGGACGATTCCGAGCCACCAGACGATTCCGAACCCGACGATTCGGCACCGCCCGACGATTCGGAGCCCGATTCCGAAGATTCAGAACCACCAGAGGATTCAGAACCGCCCGACGATCTCAGGGCACCACCGCCCGATGATTGAGCACCGCCCGACGATCTCAGGGCGCCGCCAGCCGTCGACGACTCGGAGCCGCCGGTTTCGGTGACCGAAGACGAGTCTTCGTCAGCTCTGGGGTAGAGGTGGACGTTGGCAGCCGCGGCGAGCGACACCAAGGTTGCGAGGGAAAGAGCAGTCAACTTCATCGTTTGTGGCGTCAATTTAGGGGGGCAGGGATTGCGTGGTTTAAATACTTTGGGTCAAAGAGGCGGTTAGGGGTTTAAGGGATTAAGAGTGGGACAGGGGTTTGTGTCACCCTGCATTTGCCAAATGGTAAGGGCAATCGCTTACTTACACAAACTCACCTCCGCCATTGTGGGATTTTGAGCGGATTTTGCTCAGGCCCTGGGAGAAGAAAGCAATAATCGTCTTGCAGCGGGGAACGCCACCCAAGAAAAATCTTTAGCTGCCATGTGGTGTTTCGCCGAGACTGCCGTACGTAACTTTCTAGACCGTTGCCAACCACGTTTTGCCGGTGATGAGCCATTCGATGTCATCGATACGCCTAGATCTTTAGTCGCCTGCGCAAATCACTATCACCCGAACCTACCGGGGTGGAGCAACTGTGGGGGCCACTGCCCCGTCCCGTTTAGCGCTCATGTGACGTAAAATCCAGGAGCCTCACTTTAAAGAATTACCCCCTCTAGAAAACGGTAATAATTTACCCAACCACCCCCGCGGATCGGCCCGATAAAGAAAGCCAACTTTATCACACCGCTCTAGCCCTGGAGCGGCACATGGGTTGAGCAACCATCAAGGTCCAGGCACACAACGCTCACGGGGGGAGGAAGACGAGGCCAAGGGCAATTCCTGCCCCGACACCATAAATTACAAATGGGAGTGTCATTTAGGTTGGGGTTCAGGGGGGTGTCGTCCGCTCGGTTACCTGATTTCTTCTGCACTCCATCTAGATCGGGGCTTATCATCCCCTGATTTTTTGTGGAAGGGTAATGAAAGGCGTCAGAATCAGGTGTGGGTTTTCTTAATTTTCCAGTCGCCTACGGCTTTTTTTTCGGGCCATTTTTCCCCGGGGGCACCCCCACTTTCGGCTTAAACGAGAGGTCTCCTAACGTATTTAGGGGTCGGCTGTCAGAGACGGTTGCAAATTATGCAATTGGTCTGCAGGTTCGTGACCCCGCGCATGTAGCAATGATGACTGCCTGATTAGCTTATAGAAACTCTATATACAGTCGCGCGACGCCAACCTCATGCTATCGAACCTGTGTTTGGTTCGGGTAAATTTAGCCGAACATTTTGAGCTCAATTTGTGGTTCGCTATGGTTGTTAGCCCCCACCAGTTTCACAAGTCTTTCCGCCGTGTGGCGTTGGTGGTCACTTAACCCCGTAGCAACCACCGTCTTAAACGCCGCCGGGTTGTGAGTAAGCAACCCCATCAACTTGTCGTGGAGGTAGTCGTCGCCCACCTCTGAGTCCTGGCCACAAAAGCTGAGGAGCACGGGGACCACAACGGTGTACACCGCTTCAACCTTGCTCTGGACCGTCAATTGCTTTGCAAACAAAAGCAACAACTCGATCTCCAATTTGGGGAAGCGAGCGTCGCCAGCGACTAAGTTGGCGACCATGGCGGAGATTAAGTACTTCAACGTGGGCGTTGGTGGGTGCTGCACCAACAGCTTGATGCACTGAACGGCTAACGCCGGCGACAGTTCCTGGTGGATCAAGTCGAGCAAATTGGTGGCAAGCACGCGCGATTGGCTGTCGCTGAGGACAATATTGCCGCTGGTGACTAATATCACGTAACTGATCGTCGCCAGCACCGACGCCAGCTCCGATAACGGCGCCAGCAGTTGCACGACCTCGTAGAACGTCTGAATAAGCTCGGGAGCAAGCTCGCGGGCGCCTAAGACAATCTCCTTCAAGTGTGGGATCACGAGCCCCACCAAGGTGTCGTTGCTGTACTCAAAAACCCGCGCAAACACAAAGAGCACACAGGCGTACATATCGCGTTTCACCTCTGACGGCAACCGGGTAATCATGTCGATCACCTTCGACAAAGTATGCTTGAGAATGGCAACGTTGGCGGGTAAATCGGCCCGTTTCAAGTGGATTTTCTGGTTTTGGTTTTGCGGGTCGTAGTCGCTGCGCAAGAACGGCAAAATGTTGTATAACGGAAGCATAGCAATGCGAATGAGCTCAAACATCTTATCGTCGAACCCCATCACCAAGTCGTGCTGCTTCGCCCTCAAGTAAGTATGGAAAATGACATGACAGTTGTCGACCACCCGCGTTTGAATCTCGTACAGATCTTCCTCAATGAGAGCGACACGATCCAACAAGTCGACAATTTCCGAGAAAATCAGCTCCTCCAGCGCCACATATCGCACAAGATCCTCGTTGCCAAGCAAGTATTTGAGCGTCAAAAGCGCATCGGGAACATGCTTGTTTTTCACCAACGATTCGATGCACTGGCTAAATAAGACAAAGAAGAAATTGCGCATGTCGCCCCCTAGCAACTGACTAATCTTGTCCGGGTTCTGCTCCAACTCAAACGTGAGCACCTGGATAAAGTTAATCCAATACCAGCCATATATCTCAAGGTCTTGAGGGCTGTTCAGGTTATATTTGGTTTGGGCGTAGTCACGGAGCAGGACAATCCACAAACTGAGCAAAAGATCCTGGTGCTTGGCCAAAATCTGTCTCATGCCGTCATCTTCATCCTCCAATGTCAGCTTGAGGCGTAAAAGAGCCCAGCAGTTCAAGATGGCAAGTTGAATCAGCTTGCGTTCATATTCACTCATGTTTTCAAGATAGCTGAATCGCATGAACTTGCCACTCAGCAATTCTTCTAGGAGGAACGTGAGCGTGGTGAGGAGACGCTGTTTCGAGTAAAACTTGATCCGGGGCAAATTGACAAACTTGGACAGTACGCTGATGGCTTTGACGATGACTTCAGCACTCAGGTTAGTGGTATTGAAACACGGGATGAGGGCACTGATGATTTGCGCTTGTTGCTGCTCAAGAATCAGGACTTCGGGGTACAACGGATCCACCATATCGCCAAAGATATCGAGAAGCTTCTCAAGGAGCATCACCCCTTTGAGCTTGATGGGAATAATCGGCAGCGTCAGCCCCAAGAATGAGATCTTGACTAGTTCCAGAAGTCTCCCCGTCAATTTAGACAAGAATTCCTGGTTACCCCGAGTGAGGTCAAGCAAGACGTTGAACATATCGTAGATGAACAACTTGAATTCCCACGTGATCGGCTCCACTAATTCATTGTGATCAGCATCATCAACACCCACAATGCCTTCAACTTCTTCATCTTCACGGAACTCAATGGCCAAATCGCCTTGCTTCTTCTTCATCCGCTGAGAAAGAGGGAGCAATTTTTGCGAGTACGTCTGTTCGATGAACGGCTTGATAAGCTTCTTGGCACTAACGCGGAATAATTGCACGAGCGTACCCAACCAGAAGCCGCCAGAGCCCGACTCCATGCTCAGCTCCATCCAGAACTTGACAAAGTCCTTAAGTTCTTGACACGGGCGCAAGTTCATCAGGATCCACACCATCAGAATCACATCCTTGGAAAGAACGTTGGCGCGAGTATCATCGTCGACAATCTTCACGAGCTCACTGTAGCATTCGTAGGCAGCTTTAAACAAGTCGAAACTGGTGGTAAACGGGAACAACAGGTCACGCAAAATCGAAGTGGGCAGCACCGAAACAAGCCCCAACTTGATATTCTTCTTGATGACAAGATTCAACAAGTCAGAGAAGAAATCAATCTCCTCATCCAAGAGACTAGGATCGAAAATGATAAGCTCCTGAAGCAAGCGGAGAACGTGGATATACACCGCCAAGTATTCCCGAGTGGTGAGCAAACCAATCCCGTACGCCCAACTCGTCAAAAGCAGCTTCATGCGAACTCTATCGGCGGTAGCCCACTCACGAACTTGGGGACCCGCCAGCGTCACCAATACTTTAGCCACCAATGCCGCGGGACTAACCGCCAGGTACTCAGCTCGAAGGTTGTCGAGTGCCACCAGTGTGGTTGACGAAGCCGTGAAAAACTTGTCGTAAACAATCGATAAGGCATCGCCAGTGTAGCCAGCGTTGTTCATGTTAGTTTCCAACACCAACGATAATGCCTTCAACGTGTAGTGCTGAATGACCGGGTTAGGATCCATAGCCAATTGGTTGATAACCCCAGAAACATCAGAAATACACTGGTGGGTGTGATGATAGATGTGGGCAAGCGAGTACACACAGAACCCACGCGTGTAAGAGTTCTCATCAGCCACAATGCGCTGAATGTATTGAGCCATGATCGCTTGCACCACCGTCTTGTCGTTGAGGTATTTCGCAAACCGACCCACCGCTTCAGCCGTAATCGCCACAAGGTGTTTATTGACGTGGTTGCCCAACTTCGTCGACAAAATCTCTCCCAATACTTTAGCAACCTCATCATGTTCAGTGAGCTTGAGCGACTGGAATACCCCTGAAAGAGCAACGGTGACGTTAGTTTGCACTGCACGAAGACGGAGGGGATCGCCGTTGGTAGCAGATAAGTTCGTACGCATTTGCTCAAGCAACGAGAACTGGATCTTTTCCAGAAGATGAGGGAACGCTTTAGCAAACAACTCAATAGCCAAGTCAATGATCGAAGTAAGTAAAGGCGCCGGGTATTGCTGATGATTCAGGTACCGTTGATTGACAACAAAGTGGTAAAGCGGGTCGCAATTGATCGAGAAATAGGTCAGCAGCCACACGTACCGCTCAAAGTAATCGACCCAAGTATTGGCAACCCCCCACGTCGCAAAAGGCTCACTGTAGTGAATGCCTTGAGGAGCCACCGATTTGTACTGGCTTCGGTCGAGTTCGTCACTGTGACAGAATTTGGAGGTAACACCGAAATTGTAGTTGTACTCGTCCAGAAGCACCATTTGATCGGGATCAACCGGATTAATAAGTACGCGCTTATTTTGTGACTTCTTCTGCTTCTCATCTCCCCAGCCAAGGCGAGAGAAAAGCTTAGGGTCACTGAACACTCTCAAAACGAACACCACCATATTCAGATTGATCTCACCAGCTTTGCCATGATCAACAAGTTTGGTAAACGCCTGAAGTACCACTTTCTTGCACATAAACAATAACAGCACAACTTCTTTTTCAAAAGTAAGTCCGGGAACTTGAGTGAAAAGAATCTCTCCGTTTAATAAGTTGGGGTTGTACTCAGACTCATTGAAAGCGTTTGCATTGAAGCTGGTGATTGCGCCTTGGTCAACGTGGGACTCCAAATAGTTGATATAGTTGTAAGCCTTAGTAAGCAAGAATTGGATCTGCTTCAATAATTCAGGGTGTTCTTGAGGGTTGATCACATCGAGATAGTTCAACAAACAGACCAATGAGAAAATACGCACCCGCAAGTTTTGAGTGATTTCCTTCTTCGTGGCGGCGTCGTTATCACTTTGCTGGATGAGTTGCAGGGTCAACACCCCTTTCCAGAAAACAAGGAATTGCAGCGACCCCAACTTCACAAACTCCAGATCCTGGTAGAATGACACAAGCGATGAAAGAAGAAGCCAACACGCCAGTACCAGCACCAGCAGCGTCAGATCGTTGTGTTTGAGCGTTTGCGTACAGAATGATAAGATCTTAACCACGCCAGTGGTGAGCAAGACGCGGTATTCAGTTTGTTTGATGAGCGACAGCAACGCCAATGAATACAGCATAAGCCGCACGGCATTGGGAGAGTCCAGGTCCAAGTGTTGCTTCACCAACTTGAAGAGAGTCAGCACTAATTGATTAATTTCCCATTTGTGAGTTTTGGCGTAAACAAGGAAGGTGTGAAGCGCGTAGTTGCGGATGTAGGCATTATCGTTGGTAAGGAACCGAAGAATAGTGTCACGAAGGAAAGAGTCATTGGCAGCGGCTTTCGATTCGTCATCGTCGTTATCGGATTCACCGTTGTCGGCCTCTTCTTCTTCGGGCTCATTGTTCTTTTTCGAATCATCAGCACCACTGAAAGTGGCCCCAAACGGCATCAACAACTCAATGAGGTGTAAGCAAATGTACACTTGGTAAGGGTTGGTCGACAAATTGACGCCTCTGGCAGTGACTTTAGAGCTGCTCTTGCTTTTGCGCTTGAACAACCCCTTCTTCTTTTTCAGTTCATTCACTGGTCCTTCAATTGAGCCATCCTCACTGGTAAATTTAGCGTACAAGTAATCTTGGAGAATTTCGTGACACGTCAGCCCTGCCTCTTTGAAGCAGAAATCCACCACTTTAAGCCAGTGTACTTGAACCCGTCTCCATGCTTGATTCTCAATGTGGAGGGGTGCCAGGCTCAAGGGAGCAAACTGGTCCAACACCACATCCAATATCGTGTGCAAGTTGGCTCCCAAGTAATCAGTGTTGGAGAACAGCTCGAGTTGAATGTAGAAAATGAACGCTTCAATCACACTCAGTTGAAGAAGACTGGTATCTAAACTCTGTTGAATAATGGCCTCCAGATCCCGGTTCAGGTAGAGGTTCTTCTTCGACCGCCGTTGAGCCTTGCGGGCTTCTTCTAGCAGAGCTTCGTCGCGAGGAACATCGTCAAGACATAAACCAAATGCATTGTCCCATTCGTTAAATGCCGGTACGGGGTATATCAGCGCCAAATATTCAAGACTAGAGAACTTCCCAGTAGGGATAAAATTGAGCAACAAATGGCATAATAATTCAACACTGGCAATGCGGACTTCTTGAGATGAACTTGCTAAACCGTAGGTGATCAGCTTTTCGTGAGTTTGTAATAACTGATGTTGGAAAGTGTGCTGCAGCGTCAACACCGTTTCCGGCTTCATTTTCACTGAAGACTGCGCCAGAGCCGCCATAAGCCCTTCATAATTGGTGGACACAGCAAGGATCAATAACAGTTTTAGACAAAGCACGTAGTTCTTCTTGGTGAACACCAGGTGTTGCACATCGGGTGATACATTCTTAGTGACGAGCTTAATGAACTTTGCCTGAGTCTTTTCGTCAACGTCGGCTTTGGTGGCGTTTTGAAGGATCAGATGAAACAAGTAGACGACGTTAGCGGCGTCGGGTTCCTTCTTTAATAGCTTGTAAATCTGTTGAACACTGAAATTGACGAGTGACCCCAAATTCGATGGAAACGTCTCAAACAAGTCGATGAGCATGATCACCGCGCCATTCTGGTCCAATTTGTTCAATAACTGGTTGGCAAAGTCGTAGATCTTCGTTGGGAGGTGGCCAAACACCAGTACAAGGTTTCGGGATAAAAGCTTCACCTCGTTCGGCGAGGCGTCGGCCGGAAGAGTGTTGGCCACCTTGGACAACTCGGCGAGGAGGGCCTCAAAATCAACGTCCTGGGATTTGTGGCTCAGGAGCTGGGCATTGACGGCGCTGAGGCGCTCTATGGTGGACCCGTCCATAGTGATCTGTCCCGTTTCGCACTGTCGTTTTCGGCGCGCGTTCGATAAGCCCGAGAACCCTGTAAAACACCGCGCGACCAACGATCGAGAAGTTATCGAAAGTCAGCATCCACAGTAGCGGTGGCAACTTTTGATATATCGAAAGTGACTTACTTAACTTGTTGTGGGATTCATTGCAAAATACTCTATGAACATGACGTATACTCAGCACTACTCTTCTATCGAATTGATTTACAAGAGGATACCGTCCAATTCAACAACAATGCCTTTGGCAATACGGTGTGTGACAATCATGGGACTCAATTGATACCAGGCAGATATCTTTGACTCTAAACTTCACAGTTTTTGTGTACGTATCTCCCCGCTGCCATTCTAGACCCCATCGTCGCCTTGTATTCCAATAGTCAACAGGAAGGTCCATTTTGGGTTATTGATTGTGATGTCCATGATACCCTGTTCCAGCTTGGGTTTGGCGATTTGGTGTTGGACATTGCCTTAAAGGACTTCCTTATTCCTCACCAACCAGGCCAAGCCTGGTGTCAAGTGGCCGGGTTCATTTCGGAGGCGGCCCACAATCTTACCCTTATCGGGGGAGCAATTTTGAACCTTGTGGTCACCATATTCGATTACGATAACGGTGTGATTAAAGTCGCCAACTTTAAGGACACCCAGGAAGAGAATACCGTCAAACCAGAGTAAATAACATTGATAGGGAAAAAATGGTTAACTATTGTTTCAGATAGACTTGGAAATGAATTTGTAGCCAATTGCTTAACAATTGCCTCTGGTTTGAGGATGATGGCGATCTCAAGTACCAAGACCGAGTCGCGTTGACAGGCGCGTCGGGAGCGTCAAAGTTGCAAATTTTGGAGATTTAAGAAAAATGTAGACTGAGACGTAAATTATCAGGGAATCACAAAGATTTCGGATATCTCCATCAAAGTTATAGAGTCATCGGCCATTTCATCAATCTCGATAAAGGAAAGATCAATATAGTATCTTTTGGTCTAAATACCATTTGCGTTTCCTACTCGGGACTTCTCATGGTGCGAGTTCATTACAAGTTTCACTAACAATTGGAGCAATTTCCACGAGAAAATCATCCATCTTTGAGGTCTGAAGCCCACAGATGATGCCATCGATGTATTGTGAGACAGATGGTTATTTACATCATCTGTTAATCTTCAAATATCCATAATCTTGTCGTTGCACTCGCCACCAGGGGTTACGCGCTACCATGCGCGCCTGGACTCGCTATCTTGAGACCAAAACAAACACCCCGTACTCTCTCCTAAACGGCATCTCCCTCCCATTGTCGCCTCCGTGATACCCCTTTTACCGCCTTAAATGGCTTCACCCCACTACAACAACAGTGACGATGAGGAGGCGCCTCCAGCTCCTCCTCTCAACGACGACTTTGTGTCGTTCCCCACCATCCCCGACCCGGAGCAGGAGTCTAAAGGCACTTTTAAGCGGATATTCACCCAAACCATCCGCAAAGTCACCACCAATGCCACCCATTTGGTGCCTACTTATGGCACCCTGCCCAAGCCAGCGGATTTCGAGATGAAGGTCGACCCTATCGACCTAGAAGGAGACGTCCACGACGGTAAACCGCCGGAACCGATTAAACTGCCACCGCCACAACCAATTACGCCAGCCCAGGTGGCGCCACCACAGATATCCACCTCACAAACGTTGCAAATACCTCCTCATACCATGGATATGCCTCCTCCGACGCCACTTACTACTAATACTGGGGGAGTGCTGAGTGCCCTGCTCCCCGTGGTCACGACAGCGGCTGCTCCCGGAGTGGAAGTATCGTCTTCGGTGACCACTACAAACGTACCTTCGACCACTCAGGGAACGCCAATGGAGGAGAAACTGCTGTTTTTAGAGCCGCCATCGCGTCCGTCCATCGGTGCCCCTTCGGTGGGGGCTCCGTCGGTGGGAGCACCACAATTGGCACCAATAATGGCTACCAGTGCCACTACGAATACCCAGAACACTACCAATACCCAAATGGCGCAACCGGCGCCTCGTGTCACCTCAGATAACCGGCTGCTTCGCCTTCTGCTGTTTCAATACCCCACCCCCAACCTGATTAATCTGGCGATGCTGACACTTGCTAATGTCACGGTGCTGCTGTATCTGAACGACCGCAAAAAGCCTAAGCTTACACGAGACATCTCGTCGTTGCAGAATAAAATTACCCTGATTTTCAACAACTTGCCTAACGACATTGAGCTTTCCGACGACGAAGACGAACTGGAAGACGATGCTCTGGAAGATACCAAGACATTTTCCACGTCGATACAAGAGCAGCGAAGCCAGCTGGCACTGGATACGGAGGCGGGGATAAGCGGTGACGATTTAGGCGAGCATCACCATCACCGCCGCCCCCTGCCGGAGCTGAAACCAGGCTCATCGGATTTCACTGATCTGCCGGTACTTCTGATGAACCTTTACCTGGACCTGACCGCCCGCGAACTGCGGGTCAAAGTGTCTCATGGCATCACCCAAACGGTACCGGGCCCCCTGCCGTCATTGAAACTGTTTTATGCGCTCAAGAATAAGGACACCGTCACCAAAAAGCCGCTGAACTTGCTGACGCTTTTGATTGACAACGCTAAACATATCATTCTGGCCACCGCCGGCACGGCGAAACGGAAGCGTCCACCGAAGCGTGGCCTGCATAACCCGTTGAAAACCGGGGGGATCCCTCGCAAATACTGGATCAACGATGCGTTTGTCTCCGACTGTCTCAACTGCTTCAAGCCATTCACCGCATTTAGACGCAAACACCATTGTCGTTTCTGTGGGCAAATCTTTTGTCTGGAGTGCACGCTGTTCATTCTGTATAACCAGCATCGTGACGAACGCCGTCGCCGTCACGCTAGAGCTGAGGGAGTACTGCTTCCGCCGCCTCTGGCTCACGAGGCCCGTAAGATGAACCTGGACCGCTTGCGAGTGTGCAAACCGTGTCTTGTCGATGTCATTGTTTATTTAAGTGATGATCTGACCGATGAAGAAGAGGGAGAAGAAGAAGACGAGCAATTTGAGGAATCGTCCACTTCCAAAATTGAGGATACCGTCGCCGAGGATGCGATAAGTGAACACACGGTTGAGGTGCTGGCGCCCACCGTGCTCCGCAGCGCTCCTCCGAAACCAGCACCGCAAATGGCCATCCCCGCCACTCGTCGTCGCGGTGAAGCGGTGGAGATTCCTGTACTGAAACAACTGCTTCCTCGCCAACCGCTGGAGCTGTTTAACCATCCAATGACGCTTCTGGAACTGACGCCACTGCATTTGGCCTTCCGGTCGCCTATTGCGTCAAAGTGGTACCCGCAAATCAATACCATGTCTTCATCCGATTTGGACCGGCCTCGCCTGTACGATAATTTGCTGAGTCTCTATTCGCTGATGGTGGTGCGTAAGGCTCTGGCGCAGAAATTGCGGATGCACCTGGCTCTGGAGGAGCCAGAACACGGCAATTACGAAGCCAATGGCGATGCCGTGACGTTTCTGCTGTCTCCGGGAGCTCAGTCGACTCACCATCCTCTCAATACCCCCAAGACCCCCGGCACGGCGCTGAGCCTGGACCTGCTGGGGCTGGATCTGAGTGATGCTGAGGACGAACAGGTGATGCTGGTATACAATCTGCTTATGTTCCCAGGAGGCGGAAGCTCTGCAGCAGTGCCGACATTACGCGAGTTCCCTTTGGCCGATACGTTTCCTCGTTACCCCGGGACGTCTCTGGGTAAGCAACTGGCGCCACTGACGCCGCTGGGAGTTGGGGTACCTCCTCCACCGCAACCACCACTGGCACTGAAATCAATCCACTTTGAGGAAACACCGACGCTGCTGGTGCGACTGCACGAACGAGCCCACGCTTCTTTGCTTCGGATGAGGCTGCGGCGGAGACTGCGGTCGCTGCGTAACGTGCTGCTTTTAACCCAGCTGAACTACCGTCTTCCCAGCTTTGAAATGAAGACGCCATTGCCACCAGCGAGAAAAGTATCGGTGTCGCCTCCTCCACGAGTGGTGGTAGTGAACAATAGCAAGACCAGCCCTATCACTCCGGGAAGTCCCAATACCACTAGTCCCATATTATCCATACCTAATCTGCCGACTCCAGGTAGACAGCTGAGTCGTGAATGGCTGCGTCCGCCTCGCGATGGGTCTCAGGAGTTAGCCGATGTTGAAGATAATAATGTGTTTGACGATGCTGACACCGAACTGATGGCGGCGGTAGACCCCGCTCCTTATGTTCTGAGCTTGAGTGACTACCAGGAGCTCATTAATGCGGTTATTGTCCAATGTCTTGAGGACTCCGACGTTCACAAGCACCATGACGAGTGGGTTCGAGTGATTAATGATACTTTGAGCAACGTTCATTATATCAAGCTTACGGATACGTTGGATATACGCCAATACGTCAAGATTAAGAAGTTGCTTGGCGGCAAGATTGCGCAAACGGCGGTGGTTGATGGATTGTTTTTCACCAAGAATGTAGACCTGAAGAAGATGGCTCTGCACGTTACCAACCCCAAGATCGTGTTGCTCATGTTTCCCGTGGAGTACCTCAAACATAAGCAGCAGTTTATTCTGTTGAGAATGATGCACTCTCAGCAACAAGTATACATCAATAACCTTGTGCTGCGGCTTATTCTGATGAGTCCCGACGTGGTGGTAGTCGGTGATAGTGTTTGTGGTCTTGCCGAGCAGTTGTTAGAAGAGGCCGGCATCACGGTGATTTCCAATGCCAAACCCCAAGTGGTGGAAAGAATCTCTCGGTACACTAAAGCCGATATTTTCCAGCTGGTAAATGATCTTTTCTTCAAGAAGGGTCAAACGGGGACTTGTCAAGAGTTTTCTGTACGTTACAGCTGCTATAGGGGCGTGGCCAAGTCATTGGTCTACTTTACTGGTGTAGATATCGATTCAGGCTTTACCGTTGCATTGCGTGGCGGCGACGAGGACACCTTGACTGGAGCTAAATATGCCGCCGAGCTGGTCTTGGCCGGGGTATTGAATGAGAAATTTGAGGTGCTGTTGTTCACCGATCTGTCTGTCACTCGCAGAGGAATACTTAAACCAGGGCAGGGCATCATTGACCCTGAGTTCAAGCAGCGCTTTGAAGCAGTGAAGCTGGCAAAAGTTGAGGACATCGGTCTTGATCCTACGGAGGTGGTCAAGTATATTCAATTATTCTCCACCAGACTATTGACGCTTCTGCCTCTGGTCCACTATGGTCTTCCCGAGCCGCTTGTTCGCGTGGTGGATGCATTCTACGACTGGTGGCAATACCATAACCGCTACCAAAAAATCCAACAATTGAACGATAACGACGAAGTCGCTAATGGTCTTGTGTCGGGGTTGTCTTTACCCTCGGCCGACTCGTGTCCTAATGGTACTACTGATATCGTTCACATCATCAAGTATTCGCTGGAGGTTAGACTCCGTCAACTCGGTCTGGAGTTCCAGTTGAGAGCTCGCAACTGGCTGAACCTGTTGAGTTATTCAACCTACCAGCTTTACCCGATGTTCCATCGCCAGATTCACGTGCTTCATCTGACGGTACTGATCAAGCATGCCACACCGTGTACTGGTCCCAGCTTGTTAGTGATTGATTACTACACCGATAACGACAAGTGTCTTGGTACGTTCCTTGATGTCATTTTCCAGGAGAGTCCTCGTGTGTGTCGTGAGTGTGGCGATCCTATGCTCAACCACTACAACTCTTACGTTCACGGCCACCATAAGTTGTTATTGGTGGTGGAGAAGCTTTCAGTGGCTCCTCAAGTACACAATCAACGGGTGATGTGGAGCTACTGTCGGATATGTGGTGCTCAAACCCCGGTGGCACCGATGCACGATGAAACCTATTACTTACTGGTGGGTAAGTTTATGGAGCTCTCCTTCTACGGTAAAGACGTCGAGCTGGCTGAGTGTGGCCACAGCTTTTTCGCTGACTATACTCGTTGCTTTGGGCTCAATGATATGGTTATTCGTGCTGATCTTCTGCCGATTGATACTTATGAAGTTGTCGTTCCGAAGAAGCAATTGGAAGATGTGTCTGAAGTTGACTTTAATTTGAAGGTGGCACTGTATGGTAAAATTGAAACCAAACTTACCAAGTTTTTCGATTCAGTGTTGACGAGATTGACCAGAGTGAAGTTAGATACATTCGATTCACCTCAACAAGGGTTGGCGGAAGTGCAAAAGATGAAGGAAAAAGTCCAACAACAACAGATCCAGTATCAAGAGAAGCTTAAAGAGATATACGATACCAGTTTGCCAACCAACTATCTTGCGTTGAATGAAGTGTTGCGGGAGGTGCAAAAGTTAGCAGTGGACTGGGATGCTGAGTTTAGCAACTTTGAACACGAATACTTGCCCCTGGAAAACGATGTCACGAAAATCACTCAATTCCACTTGCGGAATTTCCTCTTAGATGCTGATGATCAACGACGCTCGCCTCAACCACTGGAACTGAGTTCAAACTTGGGGAGTCAACATCTTGATGATTTGCCGCAATTGAACCGAGAAAAGACTAAGGAGATTGGTCTGATGATTCCTCACCTGTTATATGACCCCGCGACGCTGCTCAATTTCAAGGACAAACGCACATTGTGGCAAGAGCGCATCAACTCTTCCAAGGACGAAGCACCTCCCATACCTTTACAGTCTTCGAGTTCTTTGCTGCGTAAACAGCTGGAAAACCTGTTAGGTGGTACGACGGCGCCTCCCACGGGACCCAAAGTATCGCAATTGGCTCTGTTCTTTGATAAGATGAACATCGACCAGATTCTGATGGAATTCAAAAAGCAACGTGAGCGGGAACTTCGCCGTCGTGCTGACCGGTTTACGTTAGCTCAACCAGTGCTGCTGCTGATGCCTATCGTGGAAGTTTACGATAATATTGACGATGCGGTGGAGAAGAAAGGTGATGTACGAAAAGAGGATAAACTTGAAGACCACCAAAATGATCACAGAGAGGACCCACTGAAAGATTCCAACCGCAAACGGGGACAAGATAAGGATGCTGTGAAACCTGCAAGGGAGCAAGAGACAAAGGACATTAAGGAGAAAGATGGTGATACGTTGACGATCAAAGAGGCGCCCTCGCAAACCCGAAACGTCGAACTGCTTTTTAAACAACTTACCACGTTTTGGGCTGATCGTACGGCTACTCTTTGGGACCCGCTTGCTTATCCGTTGGATACTCATGAACACACGTTTGAGGACTCTGACGTCATTGTTCGTGAAGATGAGCCGTCGCTGCTTGTGGCATTTTGCTTGCTGACCGCCAACTACCGTGACAAAATCGCCAAGATCAGTGAAGACCCATCCGGTACCGGATTTGATTTGGAGAAGACGGAGCTGAACTTGAAGAAGATGGCCAATTTCGATAAGTTAGCCCGCAAATTTAAGCAACACGGTCGCGATCCGGGCGGGAAAAATGCGCCGATGGAAGAGCGTATCATGTGTCAGCCAAAGCTGAACCACTTGAAGTATAAGCTTGAGGATGGCAACACTACGTTCTCGTGCAAGATCTTCTATGCCCAACAATTTGAGGCGTTCCGGTCGGCGATATTAGGATCATCGGAGCTGTTTATCCAGCTGTTACTGAGATGTGTCAAATGGAATTCCAAAGGAGGGAAACTGAAACTGCTGTTTTTGAAAACGTTAGACGATCGCTATATCGTCAAGGAACTCTCCAAAACTGAGCTTGAGCTGTTTGTGCTGATTGCCCCGTTCTATTTCAAGTACTCGCTGCAGACGGTGTTTAACAACTTGACGCTGGCTTTGGCAAAGATCTTTGGCTTCTACCAGATTGAGATTGTCAACAAAAAGGGCACTTTCCGCATGGACTTCCTCATTATGGAGAACTTATTCCACAACCATCACACCACCCGCATCTTTGACTTAAAGGGTCTGATGCGGAACCGGCATGTTCAACAAACGGGCAAAGCCGACGAGGTGTTGTTGGATGAAAACATGATTGAGTACATCTACGAAAGTCCCGTGTTTGTCGCTGAACAACTGAAAAAATTGATGCGGGGTTCGCTTTTTAACGATACCCTGTTTCTTCTGGCGATGGACGTCATGGACTACTCGTTGGTGGTAGGCATAGATGACCCGCTGAAGAAGTTGTACATCGGCATTATCGACTGGCTACGGGCGTTTACTTGGGACAAAAAGGTCGAGAATTGGGTCAAGGGCAACCTTGGTGGCACTAATAAGAAGGGGAAGGACCCCACCATCATTACCCCGAAACAGTATAAGACCCGGTTCCGGGAAGCGATGGAGCGGTACATTTTGGAAGTCCCCGATATCTGGTACGAAGGCCGGCGCCAATAGCCCGCCCGTCTACACGCATATCTGATGTCGCCTTTTGTTCGCATGGCGTTTGCTGCGAGTCACGTGCGGCAGAGCCACGCCGTGCGAGATAACCGCGTTTACAGATAAACAAATCAACAAATTACGCGTCGCTCCCCACACCGCGGGGTATCCCTATCGCGGTCAGGCAGTTTCGAAGAGGGCCCGCATACTAGCGGCTTTCCCAATAGTCATTTGCGGTCATTAACTTCAATAAAGCAAACGTAAACACTTTATATTTAGTAGCAGTTGTCGACACAGCCGAGATCACTGCCCCGGTCACATGATACGTAAGTGCCAAGGGGCTATGATCTTAGACATTGCACCCAGCCTCTTTTTTTTTTTTTTTAAGCCGTTCTCGGTGCCGCCACACTTCTTTTGTAAGTGCCGTAGGCGAAGGGAAATATACCCCGCTACCGGCGCCGAACCTTTGACAGGGCTTAGCGACTTTTTATCAAGAAAGCAAACTAAAACACTCTTTTGACAGTTGGACCCCACAACGCCTGGTTGCTGTTATCAACCGCAAGGGCGGTTACCCCTTCGGGAACAGCTTCCTTTACTCTGCAATCCCTTGTGAATCTCTGACAGAACGAAAACTCACCGCCCACGCTTGCTATCTTTAGCCGTAGACACCCTGCGTGTCTGATAACCAGAGACGACGCGTAATAGTGATTATTATAACCATGAGAGTGTGAGACCAATTGAAATCATAATGATTAGGTTTGATCGGGTTGTGATCGGGCTAACCGTCATGATTGCCTCGGCAGGATAAGCCATTTTCGAATTTTTCCCCGAAAACTCACCGTTGCCCCCCACGTTGGCGAGGCTCTGGTATCGGACAGAGGGGGGAAGGAGGCGCTCATAACACGCGCCTCCAGAGGATAACCATCCCCGAGAAAAAATGAAACCAGAGTAACCTATATTAAACTAACCAAGGGAAAGAATACCATGACATCGAGAAGGCCTCTTGGTAGCGGGCGTTTTCGGCGACGGGCCCCTCTTCGGTGCCGCACATTCTCGAGTGCGGCGTTATATTGAGGTGACACGACACAGCCTCGCAAACGACGCAGCCAGGTGCGTGCCACCTACAGGATATGGGGGGGGGGGCGGGGCTCGCATACAGACGGCCAG